CAGGGTGGTGAGGGAGGGGGGGGGGGGGGGGGATGTATTTCACCTGCAGCAGGGAGGGAGGTTAAATATCAATGCGCTTGGGAACTGCAGAAGGGGTCAGTGATTTTGTGCAGGACATTATGTGTCGGACATGCCCAACTCTGCCCACGACCATATCAACGAGAAGCAGACTCATTAATTTAGTCCCATGAGAACCTGAGCTTGGCACCGGGCAGGGCGACTTCTCCGCTCAGGATACCAAGTGGCAAAAGGGGATGAATTCATCTGGGGCCTCACTGGACGCGGAGGGAGGGGGACGCTTGGCTACTGAAACAAGAGTCCAAAAGCAGCTGATTTTTGGACAAGAACAAACAACAGAGCCCTTCCTTCATCCCCAGCGCCGTCTGCACTCTCGGAGCCCGGGCATGCCCGCGAACGGCTGACACAGCATGGGAACCCGGGCTGCCAGCGGCGGCTGGGGATGCCCTTTGCCAGCAGAGCGGTGGCCCAGGCGAAGCCTGAGGACATTGCCCGGGGAACCACGCAGAGGTCCTGTCCTCACCATTTCCTCACTATTTCACCAAGCAGCAAAGCCCCAGAGCCGAAACTGTGGCTCAGCAGTGATGGGAAGGAGCCTGCGGAACTGCAATACTGAAAGCGCACGCTTACAGCGGGGCACCCTCGGCTGGCCAGGCTGCCCGGGCTCCTTCTTTAATAAAGATCAAAGCCCCAGCTGGTGCCTTACAAACGCATCAGCAGAGCAGAAGCATTTCTCATGCAAAACCTCCTCGTTTTTTCCAGGTTCCCTGGGAGCCCTGGGCTCGCTGGGGCTGCAGCAGCCTCCGGGCAGCTGACGGGTGCCTTTGCTTTGGGGGGGGACGGGACCTGCCCCATCTCGGGGTGCAGAGACTTGCGAGCAAGCAGGCTAAGGAAGATCAGAGCTGCCCCCCTCCCCAGCGGGCAGAAGGCAAGTGCGCTGGCTTTAACGAGGCATTTACTTGAAGGCGAGCAGCTCGTTACGCAGCTTTAATCCCGGTATTAATCGACTTGGGTTGCCTTGCCGGCTCAGCCCTAACGCCCGCACCAGCCCACGCTCGCACACCGGAGCGATCCCCCCCGCCCGTCCCCGCCCGGGGCAGGACCGGCCCGGCCCGGAGGGGCC